TTGCGGAGGCTGAAGAACAAGTTGAGTTGGAATGTGGTGACGTGGGAGACAGGAAGGGTATAAATATCGTAACCCAGCAATCATCCGATAATTCAGGCCACCCCAACGAGGTATCATCGATCGTCGCTAATAAACCCGAAGACGATCAGATAAAAACCCTGGCAGCCGAAGTTAAGGCATTAACTGACTCAGTTAATCGGCTATTAAGTATACACGAAAAGCCCATCAGGACCCAAAGGAGGGCATGCTTCGTATGTGGGGACCTCAATCACTTTGCTAGGAGTTGCCCCAAACGACGAAGGGATGCGTTAAACTAATAAGGGGTCATGATGAGGGCCAGTGTCATGTCCCCGACGTTGTTATAAAACTGACTCCGGAGGTAATCATATCTGAAAGAGGTCTTCCTATTATTAAAGGCGACTTCTCCGGGGTTGAGACCGTGTTCCTAATCGACACTGGGGCCGAAAAATCTCTGTACCACCTGGCCACTTTGGATAAATTGCCCACCGGTGTTTTGGAAAGGGCTAAACTAGAGGCAGCAAGTTTTGGGATTAGAGGAATTAGCGGGACAGTACAAACTTGCGAATACACATTCCATGCGACTATAGAATACAGCGGTAAGTCTGTCCCAAACACCATAGCTTGTATGTATTTCCCAGACCACCTCGAGTATGACGGTATCTTGGGTGTCGATGTCCTTAGTGAATTTCCTAACCTATTTGGTGAAATTAAAAAGACCCTCTTAAGCACTTCCCCCCTTATGAGAAAGGGATCGACTTCAACCCTTAACTATTCCTTTTTCGAGCCGATAGAATTACAGGGTTTGGAAAGCTTGGAGAAACATATCAGAGATAGATTATATAGTATATTCACCAAATACCCGAAGTGTTTTGCTACGTCAATTAGTGAACTAAAAGGCTCTTCGCATTTTTCACACAAGCCGATTGTAGAAACCCGTCAACCCATTAACACACGGCAGTATCGCATTCCCGAGTGTTATTTGAAGGAACTTAAAAAACTCATATCCTCATATTTAGAAGCTGGGATCATAGAGGAAAGCTCTTCCGCTTGGAATTCTCCCATTCACATCATCGAGAAAGCCTCAGGTGAATTACGTATGACTCTGGACCTTAGACGCATAAATGAGGTCACCCAGTCCCAAGAATTTCCTTTAGCACGGGTTGATGAGATATTAAGCAAATTTCACGGGAGTCAATATTTCTCAGTCCTGGATTTAAAATCTGGATATTTCCAGATTCCCCTTGACCCGTCAATAAGACATATTTATGCATTCTCTACTCCCTGGGGTAAATATCAAATGTGCCGTTTACCCCAAGGGGCCAAGAACAGCGGGAGGTTCTTTCAATATGTGATGTCCAATCTTTTAGGACAATTTATTGGTATAAACTGTTTCGTATTCCAGGATGATATAGTCCTGTTCTCTAGGACGATTGACGAACACCTCGAACTCCTGGATAAAGTCCTGAGCACACTGTCTAGCGCTAACCTGAGATTACACCCACGCAAGAGTAAATTTATAATGGGTGAAGTGCGTTATTTAGGACATCTTATTAATAAAGATGGTGTCCTTCCAGATCCTGATAATGTACAAGCTATTCGTGATCTGAGTCACCCTAAGAACGTGAAGGAAGTGAGAGGGTTCCTGGGCATGGTTGGTTTTTTTAGAAATTTTATTCCAAATTTTGCTGAAATGGCCCTACCATTGACGGAGCTGACTAAAAGTAAACAGAAATTTATTTGGGATCAGAATTGCCAAGCTAGTTTCGAGAAGTTCAAGGCAGTTCTTACAAACCCACCATTACTCTCTCACCCTAATTTTTCGGACCCTTTTCACTTATATACTGATGCCTCTGATAGGTGCGCCGGTGCTGTTCTTGGCCAAATGAGAGACAATAACTTTGTTCCAGTTGGTTATTTTAGTAGGAAGTTCCGTGGCGCTGAATTGAATTATGCAACGATCGAAAAAGAATGCTTATCCATTGTCCTCGCGTTACGTCATTTCAAACCCATTATACTGGGTCATGGTCTGAGAATTTATTCGGACCACAAACCTCTAATTTATTTGAAGGATATGCAAAATCACAATAAACGCTTGATGCGTTGGTCAATGGAACTATCCGATTATGACCTTAGTATTTCTCACGTTAAAGGGAAGCAAAATCCCATGGCTGATTTATTATCACGCCCTATGGAAATAGAAAATCCTTCCAAACTTAAAGATTACAATCTTAACACTGTAAGCAACGATTTCTGGAGGCGGATAGTCGATTCTCAGGGAAGAGATGAGTTCCTGAGTAAGTTAAAATATAATCGCGTAAATAGAGAAAGTAGCACTCCATTACATGACACAGGTATCCAACCTGAATATCAGTTGGAGGGTGGGGTCCTTGTTCATGTTAAGCCCGGGCGTTACGGGTTGCGCCAGTGGAAGCGTACATGTGTCGGGAAGGACATGATTGATGAGGTGATAAAGACGTTCCATACGTCCCCCCTTGCTGGGCATCTAGGTGCCGAGAAGACCCACGATCTCATAGACCGTCATTACCATATTAGGAACCTCCTATCTCACGTGAAGCGTTATATAAAAACCTGCGTTACATGTCAAAAACATAACTTGCACCGCACCCGCGCTCCATTCCAAGAAACGGAAACCGCTGACTTTCCGTTTCAGAAGATCGCTATGGATATCATTGGTCCCCTTAACATCACTCCGAGGGGAAATAGGTATCTTCTTTCGATCATCGATATATATACTAGGTACGCTGAGGTCTGCCCCATGAGTAATCAATCGGCAACAACCGTTGCCGAGGCATTATTCGAACGTGTCGTTTGCCGTTATGGCTGCCCTGAGGTGGTTGTGTCTGATCGTGGTGGGAACTTTACCTCGCGGGTATTCCAGGAAGCTTGTGATACTTTAAAAATCAAACATAATCTCACCACCGCCTATCGTCCCTGTGCCAACTCCGTATGCGAAAGGTTCAATAAATCCATTTGTGGTGTGATATCTCGTATTTCTGGAGGGAACAATAGAGATTGGGATATATTTGTCCCACCAGCCCTCTTTTCTTACAATAATGCGTCTCACGCCTCCACTGGAGAATCGCCTGCTTTTCTTTTATATGGTTTCGACCCCCGTTTCCCCTGGGCTTTTCCAAGCGATATGGAGTCTAACGTAACGAGTGACGAGTCTCATAACGAGTGGAGAGAGAGGTTAAAGTGCATCCGTGAGGTTGCCTATGAGTTAGGGAGACATAAAAATAGGCGTAATCGTAACCGCATTAATAATAACCGTAAGATTAGTGAATGGGGGAGCGGACAGCGCGTATGGCTACTCCGTAAGGGAAACGGAAGGAGATTTGGGAAGTTTTCCGCCAAGTATGTTGGCCCCTTTCGCATTGTCCGGATGCTTGGACCCGTCACCGCCGAGATCGAAGGTAACTCCCCTAACAGTCGTATGGTCGTTCATACTGACCGATTAAAACCATGTTGCACCCCGTTGAACTTTACTAAGCAGCCGAGGACATGGAGAAGAAAGGCTCCGGATACTACTGATTATGAGGACGATGACGAGGATAATGACGACGTACCGACCTACATCCGACGCGTACCCGTGAGTTCTTACCGGGATCAGCAACCAGATCAGGAAAACGGGACCGAAGGCAATGACAACCTACCGCTTGATGATGAAGGAAATAACGATGTGCCAAATTCCCGTCATAATTACAATCTGCGCGGGAACAAAGTGAATTACCGCAAGTTACACTATGGTAACTATCCTTTATGTGGGGAACGTATGTAGTCGTACGCCATATGTTGTATTTATTAAGTTAAGTTAGTTTAGTTATTTCCTGCTATCCTTTGTTCTATTATTCTCTCCCCTTCTAGAACTTTCCTATTTTAATCCCTGTCCCTTGGGTGGGATGACCACTTCCGGGGAACGGAGGAACAAAAGAGGTTCGAATTACCCTGAGGACAAGGAGGACAAGACAAAGGCATTCGAGGACGGTACCGCAAGGAGTACAGACGTGGAGAGAAAACGCTCGAAGATCGCTTAAGACTAACGGAGATATTGGAAGGACAGGAAGAAAGAAGTTCGCATCCGGCAATAGCGCCATAAGAAGTAAGGAAAGGAAGGATAAAACAGAAGGAGGCGACAACAATTCGAATCAGACGGATTCATCGTTTGTCATCCCACCCAACAACAAAGAATCGTTCGAACACACCGACAAAAATCCTGGGTATTTCATTCTCTGTCATTTATATATTCTCCCTTCATTCTTCTACTTTTATTTCTCCCTTCCACTAGTGTTAAGTTAGAATATAAGATTAGTTTGTAGATCGGGCTCTCTTGTGTATCACTGTCGGAAACGGAACTATATGTTTTAATTTTATAGTGTCTTAGTATTGATCTTGTATACCGTTTTGTGCATTGTGACGTTGGAAATCCACAATAAATAATTTTCGAACAAAATTTGTTTCGTTGTATAACTTAATTTTGTTCTCATTCTTACAGTGTGACTGGAAATGGTTATTAGTGGAAAGGAGAAGAAGGAAAGGAAAGAACAAAGGAATTCTAAATATAAATACTATAGCTATTCATACAAAATGGCGGACAGCCACATATACATATACAAAATGGCAAACAGCCACATATTATCAAGTATAAATTAAAAATTTTTTGAATATCAGTATAATCTGAATGTTTATAACAATTTTACATATCTTTTAATATATTAAATAAATCTTAGAAATATTTAACATTAGCAATGATTGAATCCTTCCCTTTCCATATAAACAATCAAGACTTTCTTTCATCCCTTCCCTTTCAAATGCTTATGTAATACTTGAATGTCTCCTATACAGGTATATTAAAATGTAATTATATACATGCAGTAATATATATATATATATATATATATATATGTATGTATATATATATTTATTTATATACAGTAATTAAATTTTAAAAAAATATTTACCTGATATTTTCTTCCAATAGTGGGATCCAATATTCATCAAATTTCATAGAAACATCTCTTGTTCTATTTTCTGAACTTAATGACCACATATCGTCCAGTTCTAAAGGTTTTTTGTAACCAAGATAAACCATTCTGTGAAAAAAATATCAGCTTAATAAAAACAAATAATAAAATAACAAACATAGTTATTAGCCTTATTACCAGGATTTGATGACTACAATCTTATTCAAGACTGAAGAACTTATACAGAAGCAAATTTTATCCCATTTCTCTGCATTATAATTATTAATTATTAATGCATCATTCTTGAATGATATTATAATATTATCCAAGAAAAATCTTTATGATAGTAACCAACTCACAATCAAACATGTTTAAAGTCAATTATAGAAATAAAGCCTTGTTCATATTTCAAATAAACAACTATCTACAATTAACCAGTAACCAGTGCGAAATTCTTTAAAATCGGCAAACGTTTTCGATTCCTCTCCTGGGATCTTATTCAGGCTAACTTTTTATACCTTTTGTTATAACTGGATTCTTTAATTCAAATGTTTTTAAAAAATATGGAACATGCCATTTTTCGAAAAAATTTCCGAATGTGGAAGGAGTCCACATGTTATTTCAAATATTTGAAATAACACGTGGACTCCTTCCACTTTATAAATTTACTTTATAACGTTCCTTTCAAATATTTGAAATAACACTTGGACTCCTTCCACATTTGGAAATTTTATTGAAAAATGGCATGTTCCATATTTTTGAAAACATTCAAATTAAAGAATCCAGTTATAATAAAAGGTATAAAAAGTAAGCCTGAAGAAGATCCCAGGAGGGGAATCGAAAACGTTTGCCGATTTTAAAGAATTTTGCACCGGTTACTGGTTAATTGTAGATAGTTGTTTATTTGAAATATATACAACCCGGTGTGATGAGAAAGCACATTAATTAAAGCCTTGTTCAGTTAAGGTCCTCACTAACTTTTAAGTATTATTCTATTATGACAAGTTGGACAAGGGAAGGAAGGGGTTATGGAAACTTGAACAGACTGGGTCAAGAAGAGAGGGGGAGTAAAAATTTCAAGAAAAATGTGGACAATTTATGGACAGTCTATTATTTAACTTGTCTAAAGACAAGGTATTTTTTAGCATAAAGGCTAGTATAAGATGTTTTTGAAAATAATCCCTCTCTCCCTACCAATGTGATCTGTGGCTGTATGCCATTTTGTATATATTAATTTAAGTATAGTTTTAGTCCTCTCCTTTCTTGTTTCTTCTTGCTTCCAGAACTTTTTTTCTAAATCTTTTCCCTCGGGTGGTGATGACTGATTCTTGGAACCACGGAGAACAATGAAAGAAAAAAGGCCCTGAGGGCCGGTAAGAGAAAGGAAGAACATTCTTTGGCCCAGACTTCAAGATAAACAGACGTTGAATATGGTGCTCCAGGTTGCAAATGGTAGTGACTGCAGAATTCAACAGAGTCAGAGAAGAAAGTTGGATTTTATCACAGTTATGATAAAAGGTGTAGCAACTAGGTTCGAGGAGAAACTTAGTGAAGACAATGATGAGAGACTCTTCAGAGAAAGTTCAACTTAGCATCCCACCCAAATTGTGAAGTTCAGCAAAAACTCCAGATATTTTATGCTTTACTATATCTACTCTCTAACAAATTCTTTACTCTCCCTATCATCTTCTTTCTTCCCTTAGTTTTAAGCTAGCATATAAGTATTAGTTATAGGTTTTCGGGTATCATTTGTACTTATTTGTTGCGAACAGTATATCTTTTGTCATTCCCGCCATTAATCATTATTAGAAGCTGTGTTGCAATTATTGATTTTGGAGTTGGAATACATAAAGAACTTGTTCAAATACGTGAAATAAAATATTGTTGCTAAATATTCTTGTCACGTATCCTTTGTCAGTCTACATACATTTTGCGTGAACATCACAGAATATTATTTATAGACAATCCCTAACTAATGTTAGCTATATTAAAAACTATGATTTAAATAGAGGCAGGCAAAACTATAACTGTAGACTTTGTTCCTGCAAGCAGTCAAAGTTTATATCTAAGTTTTTATCCTGTGGCTACATGCCATAATTGTAAGGTCATAGTTTATATTTTTAAATATATTTCCTTTGTCTTCATGTCTATTGTCTTTCCTTCTGGAACTTTCTCCCGACTTTTGTTTAACGGCATAACAGCAAATGACCCCTTAGTAACAATGGGAAGGTGTGCAACCCTCAGGATATAATGGTGACCACGAGGTCATTCTTGGAGGTAGAACAAGAGAGAAAAGGACACGTGAAGAGAGCTCTCGGAGTTTTTTTCTGGAACCGTGTGGAGACAAAACGGACTTTTTGAGGGAAAAAGGAAATTGAAGATAGCGAAAACTGTGAAGGGTGTTTTCATTCATTCCAGTGTGTATGGCAAAATAAAATTCCTTAGGAAAGTAATTTATATTCGCCGTGAATCGAGAAGTTCATCCCACTTACAAATATCACAGTGAAAAATGCCAAAATCATTGGGTACCCAACTTTTCTCTCATCTTTATTTTTCATTTTCTTTCTTGCCTTAAATCTATATTTCATCTTTAGTAGATAATAATTAGCTGTAAGATATAATTTGTATTTTCTATTGGTAGACTAGTAATTTAAGTAAGGAAGAATTGTCGCGATATATAACTTATGTTAAATGTTAGTTACTAAAATAGTGTAATAAGTTCAGGGATAGAGATTGTAGCTGGCATCTGATTAATATTTCCTGTATTCTGTATGCGAATTAAAGACTTATATTATAAAAGTTGAGTTTCTTTGTCCACAGTATTCGTGCACTTCACAATCCATTATTGGTTATTTACCACTCACATTTTTGGTTAAATTTTCTTTTAAACAAAATGTAAGAAAATATCAAAAATTATTTTTTATAAAGTTATGAACAGTGTTCAAAGGAAAGTCTACTCACCCCCTATAACTTTAAACCATCTGTTATAATGCCATGAAAGTAATTGGCATCTATAGGAAAGCAACCATGCACAATCCATTGAATGCAATTTTAGCATCCCTAATGGTGAAATACAGAACTAAAGAAAATTAACTCAAAAATTAACAGATAGGCAAAAAAGTCTAATTACAAAATGAAAGAGCATCATTTATTTAGTACAAAATGATACTTAGTTCAACAGACACAATTACAAGAAAAAGGAAAAAAACTAAGAAAGCAGCAGAAAATCAATTTCTGACATTTGGCAACTGTGTTATTGGATACAGTGGTTAATACAAGAAAAAGGAAAAAAACTAAGAAAGCAGCAGAAAATCAATTTCTGACATTTGGCAACAGTGTTATTGGATACAGTGGTTAATACCAATGAACTTCTTCTTTTGAGGAAACCTGAAAAATCAAGTATACATATGCTGCAGAATCTTCCACCACAAGAGATTTAAAGGAATGCATTCTTCCTATAATTCTGTAATTCCTGCAATGTTATATACTGTTTAAGATGAAGTTCTGTTCCAAATCCAGACATTCATTGCCACTGTTGCTGCACACTTTGAACACTGTTTACAATAGATTACTTTGCTAAGTTAGTTGACCTGTGCTTCATTAACTTTGTGTTACAATCTGTGTATTATTGTGTGTAAAAGTTTATTACTTTCTTAGTATTTTCTGCTCTTTCCTGTAAGTGCTTCTGCTAAATCAAGTATTATTTTGTACCAAATAAATGATGCTCTTTTATTTTGCCTATCTTAGTTTCTAAGTTAATTCTTTAGTTCTGTATTTTGCCGCTAGAGGGTGCTAAAATCATGTTTAATGAATTGCATGTGGTCACTTTCCTATATTGCCAATTACTTCCATGGCCAGTGATGCCCACACACTATAAAAAAGAGCATCAAGCATCACAGTAATATATACTTTATTAATGTATGTATGATGCTCTTCTTCTTTGTGTATGTATATACAGTATATATATACATACAAAAGTACACAAGTATCCCTTAACTAACACAGTTAATTAAACTCTCAATGCTACTGCATATATCACTTTAATCAAATACAGTTGATATAGCGATACCTTGGTACTTGACCGAACAAACAACCCAACCCTCTAGAACAGATTTTCAGTTAATAACAAATATTTGGGCTGCAATTTGAAAAAAACTTTAGACTGATAAATTTCCACTCTCATCCTCTGCCTGTCTGTCCTTCCTTAAATTCAAAAACAGAGTTAGATAGATAAAAGCCAAGAAAGATAGGGAAAGATTAGGGGCAGGAAAGACCCCAATTAACTATATATATAGTTAATTGAGGCCAGAAATTCATATATATATATATGAATTTCTGGCCTAGACCAGAAGTCACATTATTTCAATTAAAAAGTTTTCCCTGAAAGGAGTTAGATAGACCAGCACGACTCTATTGCTAGCAGGAAAAGTATGACGTACAGGGGCAAGACACTACTAATTTGAGGTGGAGAGCATAAATTTTAAATTAAATAAATTAAAAATATGATTAAAAATTGTATCCCAGCATTGTGACAATGTCACAATAAATAATTGCTTGTTTTATTTTAATTTTATCATCAGTAAAAAATGTTTTCTGTAATAAAAATAAGTAACTAATTTAAAAATAAAATGAAACCTTAGAGTAATGCCCTTGAAGATTAAGAAAAGGACAACCCAACAACAAAGGGGAGCGAGCACATGCCTCAAGTGCCCAATGTACTGGCACCCATGTCCATGGTGCTATAACAAGTTAAAAGTTATAGGAGTGAACAGATTTTCCTTTGAACCATGTATATATATTTTATTATGATAAAACATTTTTATTATATTAACATTATATATATATTTGAGACATAGTTTCAAAAGTGGCCAACTCCATTTTTTCTGGATCTGAAACAAAGGGATTTTAAAACTAATTTCAATTTTCATCTTCCTTTTATTTCTTCTTTCTGTTTTATGGCTAGTTTAGAAATTTATAACAATAATGGCTGAAAAGAGCAGAAAAATACAAAAGATCAGGTGCTTAGCTAATTTTTTTTTAAAGGATGAGCCCATTTAAATGGATAAGCCCATTCAAAAATGGGCTTATCCATTTTTGAAACTATATGCCTCACATATAAATAAACAAGAAAATACGTAAATAAAAAGAACACATATTTTATCTCAAAATATTATATACATACCCATTAAACCACCAAAATGTTACTTTAGATAAAAATGAAGCATATTTTTCAGGACAATTATTCTAATTAAAAAATATTGATTTATTATTTTTTTTATGTAAAAATTAAAATTCAATTTTTTTAAAAATTAAACTATCAATTTTCATAATATTCAACTAACCTTAGATACATCATATACTTTATAATATTCAGGTTTGACATCAGCAAAACATGATAAAAACAATTCACCAATATAAAGAACTAAATAAATTACAGCAAATGTAAGAGAATATTCTGAAATTTCGTAGGAATATTTCTGGAAAAAACTTAACAAATTAAAAAATGAGTTTTACTATAAAATTATAATATAAAACTTGAATATTTTACAACCTCATTATATATTCTCAATAAAACTGAACGATATATTATTATCTGTGAAAGGGTTAACAATAACCAAAAAATGAATAGCATTTCAGATGACTGTCGACCATTCTTTCTTCCTGAAGTGGTCAAAATTAGAACTAATATCTATATTTAAAAGAAAAGATATATATAAGGGTCTATATACAAATGCAAAATTTACAAACAATAATAATAATAAATTAATTAATATTTAACAATTTTACAAAAAATAATAATAATAATTGTCAAAAACTGTATACAACTGTAAAGACTGTACTTTATTAAAGTATTTACAATTCTTATATTAAAATCTATAAAATTATCAATATTTTTATAAATGATTTTATGTGTGCATTAATTATAATCAATGATCTATCATAAAACATGCAATAACAACATTCTTTAAGCTTTTGGACAAAATACAAGTTTTGGCAAATGAATTCCAGAACTTGAAATTTAGAGGAAATAATATACTATAATGAAAAACATTTAATGTTGTTTTGATAAAATCTTTTTGAGAAACTCCTTATTTAGGTATTTATCTGTAGAATTATTAAAAGTATTTTTTAAATTAATATAAATTTAATTCTTTATTTTCTTTCATTAAATTCCTTTGTCATTTATTGTTTAGATGTATATCATCTAAACATTCAAATAACTTCCAATTTGACATTGGGTATTAAGAAAAACATTCTACAGAAAATAAATCAAGGAAAGAGAAGGCAGAGAGTACATTTGTAAAACTGAATAATCTAAACAAATTACTAATAAGTCAGTCATAAAATACTAATTTTGCTCAATGTGCATGCTCAATATTGATGACATTTCAAATAAACCTTTAACAAAATTCATAAAGGAAAAAGATTGCATTGTGAATAAAATGGCTTCTGGTAATATTGATGTTTCTAAATTCACTTTAGTGCATGAATTGTGGATTAAAAGGTAAAATGATAAAAATAATTGTTCACATAAAGCAATCTGAGATAAGACTTCACTAGCAACATTCACAATTTCAATTTTAGGAACAGGTCATTTCATGTAAATCATGTAAACAAATCAGTCAAAATGTTCAACAAAAGTAAGACTAACAATGATGTCATTCTCGTTTAACTTGTCTGACATTATGAACATACCAAAAATTTAGTTTTGCAATTCTATATTTGTCAAATCTCAATTATCATTGCAAAACAAGATCACACATTGTTGTGTATCAAAATTAACTTTTTCTTCCTAAATCTAAGATTTATTTAATGAATTTGTTTAACCAAACAATTAAGGAGTTATACAGTGGAACCTCGCTTAATGAGTATCTCTTATAATGAGTATTTCACATAACAAGCAAAACAAATTGTAAAACAAAAACAAAAACTTGACTTGCTTAACAAGTGACAAGGAGAGGGGAAATCCCGGATTATGTGCATGCTCCATCAGTCTGTGTTTAGCATTTGTTCTGATAGCATCTTAGTGTCACTCGTGATCACACATTTTTCCAAACTTGTGTTCATACATATTACATATAAACATCAACAATCAGAGCCCGTTATATAATAAACATGTCATCTTGTACTAAATTTAATGACCAATTCCAAATTAAATTTTAGAATTGTCTAAATTAAAAATTAATTATTTATAATTATATTAAATTTAATACGATATGGCAGCATAACTGCCTACCTCTAATCAAAGTAATTAATTTCTAATATTTAATTATAGCCTTTATATATGATGAAGATGCCAAACGATATGCCCAAGACTTTGGCATATCGTTTGGTGTCTTCATCACACAATATCTGTGATTTTTTTTGTTTTCTACAAATCAAATTTGCATTTCAGGTTTGTTCATTCCACGCTAGAAGAAAAGATGAAGATAATTCATGCTCCTTAAAAATGTTTATTGTGTAATTTTCTTTGAATAAACATTATATATAAAATATTTAAAAATTTTTTCGGCATAGAACACATTATCGTATTTTACATTAAGCGGGTTCTATGGGAAAAATTGTTTCACTTAACAAGTGTTTTGCATTATGAGTAAGATTCTGGAACAAATTATGCTCATTAAACGAGGTTCCACTATACATAATAGCCCTTATTCATTATCTAACTTATCAGAACAAATTTCTTATAGAAATACTGAACACAATATCTAGTATTCCAACTGAGTAATATAGCCAGTGCCGTATCTAGCCATTCCTGTGCCGTGTGCAAGAATTTGCATTTAGGAACCTTAATTAATTAGGTTTGGGAAAATAATAAAACAAACACATACATTTTGGGCCTCCTTCCAAGTGGGCCCTATGCGGGTACACCTGTTGCACCTGCCTAGTTATGGCACTGAATATAGCATCTTAAAAATAGAAATCAACGGAATTATGAAAATAAGTAAATACTTATCATAATTTTATTTTATTTATTTATTTCTTTTAATTGAATTAGTTTCAAGAGTGATATACAATTTTTACAGGACCAATTTTATAAATAAAAATTTTTAATTAAAAAAATTATAATTAAACCACTAAATTTTTAGTAATTTAAATCAAGACATCTTATATAAAATTTATTAATTTTTTTTATTAAAAAATAAATACCCATAAAACAATAAATAGTTTTCATCATGGAAAAACTTTTTTATTGTTATTCATTAATAATTCATGATTAAAATATCAAGTTCTCAATATTGCTGAAATCAAAACAAAAACATTAATTTTTTATAAATTATTAGACAATCAAAATCAGCAAAATAATAACTTCAAAATGATAAGTGATATCATTAGATTATTTTTTATATTTATATTTTCTTTTGTAAACTTTCATTGACACTTGCACTCAAATTAAGACTATAATGGATAACTAAATGTTTGGAGAAAAAATTAGTAGACTTTCTGGGAAACTATTACTTTAATCTGCAAATTGATTTTAAATATCACGGCTATGAAATTAGAACATTTTTTAAAATTTACAATTTTGTAAAAGTCATTATGAATTTCAATTATCACATTAAATAGCTCTAAAAAATTGTTTTAAATATTACTGCTTTTTATGGAATGAGTTTGAACCTATTGATATAGACATAAATTATAAATTGAGTGGAACTTATTGACAGTATTAAGATTTTAATATTAAAAGATAAGTACAGGAGCTCCCCTACTTACAAACTTTCAGACTTATGAACACTTTGACATACATCTAAAATTTAAATTCCATTTGAATTCTAAAGCCCTCTTGCCAGTCATGAGATGGTGTTGAAGTTAGTCTTTAGCCAGTAAAAAATGATAAATTTTTAATAAATAATTAATGTGGATTTATTTCTATTGTGTGTTGTCATTATTTCATCTTCATGTGAATTCTGACATCCCATCACTGCTCGTGAGATGTCACTGAAGTTGATAACATTGGAGTAATAGCATTTTTTGCTATTGTTTGCAATTTTTATAAACTTTTACAATTAATGCTTCAAACATGCATCCATAATGTAATATTAAATCCAGCAGTGGAGATAAGTGCAACAAGTGTGAAAAGTCTAGTTTAGTTAAAATTAGTAATAATCAAATGGACTAAAAGCAATGTTCAATATAAAGATTATTATTATTTTTGTTTTTCATTTTTTAAATCTTAGTCATATTTCTGCAACAAAATTTAATTTTTGCTTCTTATCTTGTTACTACAAACAACAACCATAGTTTGCACCCTGAAGACTATCTCTGAAATGGGCTAAAAGTTTTCATTATAGTTCAAAGTTTAATGAATATTTTTTACATCTTGATCTCTAAGAAAGCAATTAATTGTATTTGTTTGAGGAATTTGGTAAAATACATTTATGTGAATGAGTTTATATGGGAAATCAGTCAGATTGACCAACTATCACATAGAATCTTGCTATTATATTTTGTTTTTTTATATTTAGAATGAAAAGTCTTGGAAATAATTGTTAAAACTTGTGTAATGGATCTTACTACAGTTCTTAACAATTGTAATGTTTGAAAACTTTCAGTTACATTTTTGTCATTATCTTGTAAATTGATATTTCATTTTTATTTAATTTTGAATTTTGTTATACTGATTCATTCTTATTAATATATTACTAAAACAACAATCCAATTCAACTAAGAATGATAAGTCATTTTTATGTAATATTACATATATTGATTATATTATAATAATACAATATAAATCATTCATTTTCTGTAAATAAATTTAAACATAAATCTTTCCAATAGCTATATGTAATTTGCTATAAATTTTATGGACACCACAGTTTTCAATTAGAAAGCTCACTGAGATTCTATTAAACATATTGTCTTATCACTGATAATTGAGTTGATAATGACATTGATATATCCTGACAATTTTAATCTACACACAAACTGAATTATTGCATTGCCAATAACAATTATCACAGTGAAAATTTATGCTGATTCATTAGCATTATCACAGAATAATTATCAATGCCATAAAAAAACATCTGTCATTTGAGCTTATAAATATTAAAATAGGAATAAATACTAGAAATATATGCTTTATTTCTAAACTATGAAGAGAATTATATAATGTGAGATTTGAAATGAAAAATTTGTATTAAAATTTTAAATAATGAGTTAGAGAGATTATAAAAATATATTTTTGAAAGTTTGGAAGCATTTCAAATCTTTGACAAATCACAAATGCAAAATGGATTATGACAGAGTGGCAATCTTCTAATTTATTAAATAAATATAAAATATAAAATTTCTATTTGAAAATTTTAAGATAAAATAAAAGTTAATATCATCTCACTAATGATATTTTGAAATGAATATTTTTTAATTGCTTATTTTAAATTAATATTTTAATATAACAAAATTTATTTTTACCAATGATATAGTATTTGATTAATTTATATAATAAACTTTGTGATAATAAATAAAGTGAAATAATTTTTATAATTATCTATGTGGAGCCATCTATTAATTATATGTACTGTACAGTACAGTTTAACTGGGAGGGAGGTAATGAAAAGTACATACATCACTGTACATAACGGAGAGGAATGGAATTGAAGCATTGTCTAATGAACATTTTTTAGTGGCATTAATAGCATGCAAATTTATTCTTATAAGTCACATGCACTAGTCATGTGAATAAACTAT